CCTTTTTTCTACTGATTCCTTCCTGTTTTTATATGATTGATTTACACGGTTTGTTTAGGTACCAAGACTTTCCTGCCACGATGATTGTTCACATGTATTCATTATTGTATGCAATATCATGTAATACTCTTTCTTTTCCCTGAAAAAACAATAATCACATTGAACATAGAACACAGTGAGACATCTTTCTCCAGGAATTGGGGATGAAGAGTAAAGGGCAGGAATTATAGTGGGAAAAGGTGGGAAATTGGAGAGAAATGCCTTCTGCAAAACACCTTCATTTTACAAATGAAGGAGGGAGTGGAAGATGGAGACAAGTTTCTAAGCCCATGTGTGGGTGTTGGGCTAAGGATTTTATTGAGGATTTAACAATTTCACCCTCCATTTCCACGGTATTTCAGGAAAAAAGCTCTGCATTTTGATAAACTGCTTCACACAGTACTGTAAAATAGGTCTACACTGTACAGTACACTGACCATCTCATTCTGGGTGTACAGTACAGTGTAGTCATTGTACAGTATGGTGTAATCAGTGTACTGTACAGTGAATAATGTATTGTACACCCAGTGTACTGTACTGTACACACACTGCACACTGCCTGTACTGTACACCTGGCCCACACTGTACTGTCGACACACTGTACACTGACTGTACTGTACACCCTGTGCACAACGTACTGTCCACACACTGTACACTGCCTGTACTGTGCACTTACTCTACACTGACTGTGCTGTGCACCCAGCCCACTTTACTGTACACACAATGTACACCGACTGTACAGTACACCCGGCCCACTGTACTGTCCACACACTGTACACAGCCTGTACTGTTCACCCATCCTACACTGTACACTGACTGTACTGTACATCCCAACCACATTGTACTGTCCACACACTGTACACTGTCTGTACTGTACACCCAGTGCACAACGTACTGTCCACACACTGCACACTGCCTGTACTGTACACCCAGCCCACACTGTACTGTACACACACTGTACACCAACTGTACTGTACACCCAGCCCACTGTACACTTCCTGCACTGTACACCAAGCCCACACAGTACTGTATTGGATGTTGTCCACACTGTTCAACTGTGTATTTTACACATCTTTTACTCTGTACCACTGCACATTATATTATGATGTACATTCTGTTACTAAAGACTCCTGCTCTAAGACTAAGACTCCTGACTCCTGTATTTTAAAACACCCATTCTGATGTTTTGAATTTGATAGAGATACCTCAATACAGGTTGTGATACCAATATACAAATTTGTGAACAATAGTTAAATAATAAAAACACAATTTAAAATAGTATTTTATTTTTACTATTCTAAATATAAGAAATAAATATACACAATCCTTCTTGAACAAGTACAAAGTTCTCACTCCTGTCGGGCATTTTCTCTGTCCTCTTCTGGAGTGGATGTGGCAACTCTTCAGCTATGAAGTGTCATTATTTCTGTTCATGTCTTTGGTCCAGAATCAGTGATACTCAGCCACTCTCAGAGATTCTCTCAGTGCAGTGTTAATGTCCTGTACTGTCCAGTCAGTGTGTCTGGAGTGTATTAACCCCTCTCTCTCTCAGTGCAGTGTTAATGT